TGTGTGCTCAAGCTTATCAACCCAGAGGAGCAGTGTGCTACCAGAGTAGTGCACTCTACTAGCATTCCAATGACCCACCTTTGCAAGGGAAAATGAGAGGTCAATGGCTTTGGAGAAGGGGATGCAACGAGTTATGTTGGTGAAGAAGGCGGAATGCTAGGAATCTCTCGTAACTTGATGTTTGTCTTTTGGGAACACATCTCCGAGGAATAGAGGCATATGAGAGAAATGAACATATCGGGTGTGTGATGTGGAGGTAGGCTTGAAACTGATTGATAAAGGAGAAGCCTATATTTGTGAGACAGGTTTTCACAATCAGGCGTTCCAATTGGGTCTTAGGTTTTTGGGCCGGCCCGGGCCTAAAGCGCTTTGGGTTGTGCCGGGCTGGCCGGATCGCAGTTTGGGTCGGGCTGGGTCGCCATGAAGGCAAGCCTGGGTGACCCAAACTCAAGCCTATAAAATATTCGAACCTTGATTTCCACACTTACACGATATCACTCATATCTGACTGAAATAATTGTGAACCCGAGGACTTGCGTCATTCTCAAGAATGTTCAGAATATTTGAGCCTCATTGGTTGAATTACCTCTTTTCCATGTGCCGCTTAAGAGTGATTCCAAGTCTTCCACCATGCTCTGCCTGGTAATTATCCTCCTCGAGATATTCGAATATCACAATCCATCCCTATTCTTTAAACCTTAGGAACTCATTTCTCGTGATTGTTGTTTCTCGTTTCTTTTCTTTTCTCATTTCCTATTTTTCATTCGCTTTCCCGCATATGCCCTCAGCCCTACAACACACTCTTTTCTTGTAGCTTCTACAATTCACTCATCAGGAAAACTATGTCTTTTGAGTACCAATAATGGCCATAATTACGTCTTCAAATGCAGGGAATTAATAGCTTTGGTTAGAAACATTTGGGCTTTCTGGGTGGCCCGGGCTTGATTTGGGCTGGGTTGGGTTGGGTGGGCCTGACATCATTTCGGCCGGGTTTGGGCTGGGCTTAGCAATTTACGGCCCGGGTCGGCCCATTGCGAAGCTTGTTCACAATCACCCTTGAGAGTCGGGGCGGGGTACAAATATCCCCCAGTCGTATGAGCTATACCAGTAGGATTCGCATCCCCCCAAGCTGCTGTTGACGGTATGTAGTCCCGGGCACTGGTTCGGTATCTCTAGTAGGGGAGAGGTCTTTCAGGGCGTAATTCCTGACCTTGGCGCCGTGTTCCGCCGCCAAGGCATCTGAGAGCTCGTCGCGATTGTTAATCACCTGCGCTTACCCGGAAGCTGGTCTACGGGTTTTGGTCAGCATTATGCTTTCCTTTGATATGTTCGTGCCTAACGAAAGCACTGAAAAAGGTGCGACCTCGAGTGGGATCACGAAAGACTCTGAGTGCGAAACAAGTGCGGGGAAGAAGGATCGATCGACTCTCTCACTCACTTCCGCCTATACTAGCTAAGAACAAACTAGGAGATATATATATCACTCAAAACAACAACAATCTAACATGCGCAAAACTAAACAAACTCTAAACAAACACATGAGGCTGACAAAAGAAAATCTGCTGCAATATGGAACTCACCATGATCCATCGTGATCCATGGAACCTCAACCTCAACAATGCCAATGAGAAAACTTCCGTATACCTAGGGAATGAAAGAAACCATAAACCCAATACCCTATGCCAACCGGCATACGATGTGAAAAGAACAAAGCCTCTGTTAGGTGCAGTACTGGAGGAAACCACAAAGACAGATACCCTGTATCCTTCCGTCTTCTAACCACATACCCTTAAACCTGCGAAACCGCAAGCCTTCATGACTGTCGACCTTCATAACCCCAGCCCTATAGGCCACTATCCAACATGATGTGCGGGGGTATCTGTAGAAACGACAATGGTACATGAGCGAATACGAGTACCCGGAACAGGATTAAAGGGGGCTCGGACAGAACAGCGGTAAATGGAAACAGCTGGAACAGTGAGAGACATAGCCGCGGTAAAGAATGAATCGGGACGAACACTGGTGGAACTATTAATAGTGGAGGAAGTGGAGAGGAATGCGAGGAACTGGAGAGGGCAGCGAGGAACCGCGGCGGTGGAAGAAAAACAGTACACGTAGGGTAAAAGCTTGAATCAGTCGTAAGGAGATGGAGCGTGAAGTGACAGAGAAGACAGGATCCTGATAGGAAGACTCCCGGTAGATTAGATATTCCTTTTTTTATGTATTTGAAGAGAGCCGCTCACCCACCATTGTGGAAGGACTAGTCCCAAGTTAACAAGTAAACCTTCATGTCTTTTTTTTCTTCTCGCGTTTGCGTTTCACCATTCTTTTCAATCCAGGCCTATAATTTCTTTAGCACAGAGGTCCTCAAAGAACTACTGGTACATGCTCCCATGGATGGCAGGGATAAGCCGAGTTGCATCATTATGCCGATGGCAGTCTTCTGATATGTGTTTAACCTTATGCGTATTTCAAAATACCAATATCATACTCTCTCTGGTCCCAGAAATTATTACCTTTCCAAAACTGGGTCGATGTCTTTACTTTCAAAGAATAATTTCACAATATCCCCCCGCCCTTCTTTACTGACGAACCAGAGTAGCGTCAGACCATTCCGGTATGATACATCACAGTGATGTGGAGAGGGGAGGGGAAATGGAAACAAAGGAAAGGAAAGGGAAGAAAAAAGGAAAGGTCGCTTCCAAGTGACCGGGTACCCGCAGTTTGCTGTGGATGCACGGCATATATTGTGCCGTAGCTTTAGATGATATTTATGCCGACCTTTCGTGCACGGTATGCGGGAATGGTGCGTCGGGATTACTGCGAGCCTGTGAATGACTCTCGGTCCGTTCGAGCACAGTTGGCTGCGGTAGACCAGATAAGAACTAAGCCATCCATAGAAAGCACAGCAATCCCTCTCTCTCGCCCTCTTTCTCGGGATTCGGTTTGGGTTCGGATTTTGTTTGTCTGATAGAATGCGAGGCCGGAAGGCCATTTGTTCTTTTCTCTTCTTTTTCTCTTTTTTGCTCCCCCTCCTTCCCGATGTGCGTGGGGTTCACTTTACCTTACTCGAGCACTCTTTGTATACATTACGGTAAGGTGGGTAAATACCCTTGTGCCGTATGATACTAGGTTGGTTTGGGTCTTTTGTTTGCATGGCGAGGGATCTCTGGATGGGGGAGCGGCTATTGGGTCCGATTGACTGATTGATTGATGGGGGTTGCGGTCTCGGTGGTACAAGTGAGGACTCTACTCGCAGCAGGGGGCGGCTGTAGCATTCAATTTTGCGTCGGAAGCGTGGATCAAGATCAAGTACTCGTACAGTAGTCATACAGTATGGCTTATGATATTAGACATGCTTGACCGCGGGCAGGCTGAGGAACACATCATGGATACATATCCTCGTGCTCCATCTATAATAATATTAATAGCCCTTGCTCTCCTACGCCGCCGGCGCCCCTCGTCCGACCAATTGCGTCCCTTCCTACCCTCTTTGGCACCCCTGATTCTCCACCGTGACCCCATCCAATGTGACCACGGTGCGGTAGTGTTGCCGTGGTGATGGGTTACGAATAAAATATCTATGATATCGCATCGAGCATCGTTACTGGGCCCGGGAATGAAGGGGAGAGAAAGAGAGGGAAGAGGTTGGTTGGGGAACCCGAAGGGACTAGCCCTAAATGGGCCGGAGCTGGATGAACGATGACCCCACCAGGTTGGAATGCCAATAAAGGTCACAGGGTTGCGCAACCAATGAATACAAGTGGCTGCGCGTTGGAAGACGAGAGACGCGTTACCTTGAAGCGCAGAGAAGGCAGCAGGATGGCAATTTTGTTAAAAGTGGAATTGAAACCTTCTCACTCACTGTGCGTAAGGTATGGAATGGGGGACAGGTGTTTAAATAACACAAGTACCCCATTCCTACATTATGGAGCCATGGGCTTCTTAGTTGGGATTATGGGCATCCCTTTCTTCCCGTTTACTTCCTTCGGTTTTTGATGGGGGCTGGACGCTGGAACCTGCTGCTGCTGCTGCAAAAAGGGTTTTTCTCCCCATCTTCCCGCCTCATCATGCCTTCCGATAGAGTACTGTAACCTATCCCATTTTTCGCCTCCAACAAGCAACGGAGAAGGGTTGAGAGAGGAGCGGAAATAGGCCCCATATCGCACAAGAATGTCCAGGGAAGCCTTTGCCTCTTACTCACTTTAGTCAAACACCACCCAGCGCAACCTACGCAGCTGTGGTCACCACCACCAACCCCCCTCTTTCCGCTCCAAGCTGACTGAGTACCGTATCGTAGGTGACTGAATGTACCCCATTCTCTCCCCCCCTTCATTTTTCCCTTCACTCGAATCCCTCCTCTTTCCTCTCCCTCTTCCCCTGTTCTCTCCTCTTTCTGTCTGGCAACTGCAAATATTTGCTTTGCAAAATTATTGCCTTTGCTTCTAACTGAGCCTGGGGTGGTCTCAGCCTCTCCTGCTCAGTCCGTCACTTACAGTTACCGTCTGTAACCTTTTCTCACCTTTTTTCTTTTTATTTTTCATTTTTTTTTTCAATCCACCGTCACTTCCACTCCTTCACTTCCTGCTCACTAGTAACCAGCCTGCCAACTTGGAGGGAATTCGATCCAGCCCGTCCTGGCTTCGTCTTTCTTCTCCCTTCGTTTCCATCTTCTCTCTCTCGTTCTTTGCTTGCACAATCCCATTTCACACTCTCGCTCTTGAATATCGTGCTGCGTGCACCGCTCTATGCGCTCTCGTGTTCCTAATCACACTGGCGTTTAAAGTGCCTTTCGCTCCTACCGACTACGGAACCCACCATCCCCCTTCTCCCGCTTCAATTCCATCCACTACGAGACCTTTTATCCAACTAAAGGGGTATAATCGTACCGTCCGTTTTCATACCGTCGATACAAATATTCATCTATCCCTATTTCACCGTTTCGTGAAAATAGAGGACTGAAAAATATAATCCCTAAAACGCCAGCCGGCCGAACCTCGATGGATTCCTCACATTCACGAAATGTCCTCGGCGTGGATAATACTGCCGCTGGTGTAAAACGCTCAGCACCTGGCTCTTTGTTGCCACCGTTCGAACCAAGCTCTTCTCCTCCATGTTTTAAATGTCACAGTTCTCACACATCCGAGAGCAAGAATCGATATCCGACTCCGGTTCGCTCATCCTCTCTCGGTATCCTCTCGACTCCCCCTCCTCAGCTATCGTGCAAACCTGTGCTCGAACACAGTCAACCTGCTCTTTCCGAACCTTCTCCCTCGGGTGGTATACCATCTATCACCCTCCCGGATAACTGTGAACCCCTCCTTTTGGGGAGGTCTAGCAATTAATCCCACTATCAACCTTCTGACAATAGACTCATTTCACGCGTCCATGTCAAAGCACTGTATCTGACCACAGCATCAAGACCAAAGGTTGAGATCTAATGTCTGGGTTGGAACGGTGTAAAGGTTCATTGCCAGGGCCATGCCTGGGAGCCGGCGAAGGGAGATGTGTTCACATCGGAAACTGAGCATGCAGAGATTATGCTTGATGTCCAACACTCAGTTGTGGTCCTTGCGTGGCCAGGTCACTGGTATCGTTCTGGGGGTGCCCCGGCCCTGGGTTCGCCCCCTGGTAGGATAACCAGGAGTCCATCCATTGGATGGGTAGATGATAGCCATGAGAATGTTGATCCCTGTGGCCCTGATGCGAGAAACAGAATCCGTCGTTGTGGTGCAATGCTCGGTGAGAAACGCAACCGTTCGCCTGCCTCTCCTCTGCATAAAGGGGGAGGCGGAAATTCGTCTTCCATGCTCTTGGCAGAATCCCAGATGACTGACCCCTTTTTGGAAATCTACGAGGATGAACCTGTGCCTGACTACAAGGAAGGGACCCAGTCTACCCTCCACGAACTACGTGAGAAGGAGGAGATTCCCCAGGCAATGAAGCCTCTGCTGGGTGATAGTGCGGGTGAAGACGAAGATGACGATCAGGATTGTGATTTTTTCGAGGATAACTCCGACGCCATTGCGTAGAGTTTCGGGGAAGAGGAGCCGTCACTTCCTCCCATGGTCACCATTTCCACTGCCGAACCCCTCAGTGTTCCAGCCTCTCCTCCAGCCTCGTATGCTGCACGTGGATCATCAGCTTTCTCATCACCTATATAGCGTCGAAGTGCATCAGTTTCTCCCACCTAGGCCAACACTCTCCAGAATCATATCACCAACCACCTTGCTTTCTCGCGTCTTTCTTCCACCCCGCTTTCTGCACTCTTGTCTAACCTCCCATCGTCACTTGCACAATTGGTTAATAAGGAGCTTCTTATTGACGTTTTGAATAACCTTCATTGCGTGGGAGAAATCAAGCGATCTGGTAAAGACGCAGCTGGAAAGCCACTAGAAAGCGAATATTGCTATACCCCCGACCGTGATACAGATTCGGGTAGACGCGATGCTGTTGTGCAAGGAATGGGACGGGTTGGGTTGAGGGCGTGCCGAAGAACTCACAAGGTATGATATGATCGTGGTTTCTTTGTTTGCATGGGTATGAGTTGCTGAACTGACCGGGTGCTTAGCAATACTACTGGGCAAAGCCAATGAAGCCGATTTATTATTACTCTGCCCCCGAACCGTGGTATTACAGTTTGACAATCTTCTGCATCATTTTCCTTCTTCTTCCTTCAGGAGATCGGCAGGTGTTAGGGCTAGGGTTTACTATTTATATATCATACTTTTTTTCCCTTTGTCCGCCTCGGGGGCCTACGGTAATCTTGTGCCGGGGGGGGGGACTATTGATGGGACCGGGGCTGGTGTGCTCTCTGGCGGCGGCGCGGTGATGGTCTTTCTTCTTGCACTGAGAGTTCTATTGCGACGAGCTAAAGCAGGGACACAATTATCTAGTCCCGAACACTGCACCGCCGTTGGGTTCCTGGATGACAATTCTCTCATCTTCGCCCATGGTAGTTAGGAGTGGTGGTTCGGGGGAGAAACTCGGTGGGTGGGTGGGTGAGCTGTATCGCGTGCGGCACGTCTATCGAGGGAGTTTTTATCTTATGGTATAGACCTTGCCGGGTTGGGTCAGCGTGAAGTGGGTGAGGTGGGTGGGTATTAGGCGGTATGGGGGGAAGGAAGGGGGGGAGAGAGAGAGAGAAGCAATGGTGGGAAAGGTGCAAGGTATGACAATTGTGTGGAGTTGAATTGGTCGCAGTGATGCTTCATGATCCATTACTCTTGTTACCGCTTTTCATGATAAGGAGATAAGTTGGCGTAGCAGAAGTGGATATTATTATTAGGCTTTTGAGTTTCAATGTCATCTCCTCAAAGCGCAATATCATACATTGTGAAAGGCTTCAAAGTTTCAGGCAAGATTATCATATCCCATCTCGCCATCGCCACCACCACTTTCAAAAAACCAAAAAGATCAATGCTCAAAAATTGGCTATATTACCAAATCTCTTATTATTAAGTCAAGTCTATTTTTTCCTCTCCTCCTACTCCTCCATCCCCCACCCACTGACCCATCCGTTCACTGCCCTCCTCCATCAACTATAGATATCCCAATTATACCAAACCCTCGAAAAGGCAGAAACACTCAAGGGAAAAAGCTCCATAGATGCCCCCAACTAAAAAAGTACGCGCAAAAGAAAAGTGCTTAAAAAAGTAAATGAAAAGTAAGAAAACAACCGCTACCAATCAAACCGACCAACCAAACAAGACCACCTATTCCAAAGTATCGACAGAAAAAAAGGAAGAGTCGACGCTAACATTCACACTAAATAATATCAAATAATCCAAGAATGGATTTCTATGTATATAATAAGACTATGATAAATGCTGGGCTAAGACGGGGGAAAAAATATTAGAACGGTTGGGTCGAGACTGGGAAGGGAAGGAGGGTAAAGGAAAAAGTGAAGAACCAAGGAAACTTGGTTCAAATTCCCCCTCGACCACCGGCTGCCCCCTTCTGTGCAATTCTCTTGCGATATTGCTCTCGGAACTTTTGTCTTTCGAAGGTGCCTATTAGAACTATCGTTAGTGGATGTTTTTCACTATTATGGGAGGAATTTAAATACCCCATGCAAAGATAGATGACCAAATAAGTTCCGAAAAAGTACAGTCCAATCGGTACAATCTTGATCCTGGTTCCCGGGAGTTTGAACGGGGGATTAGTATCCGCTGTATTGTTTTGGCAGGCTGGGGCTACGTCCGCGAATATGCCGTTGACAAAGGTTGCCTCGTCTGCGGAGAGGGCCGTGGATAATTGCGCGCCCTCAGGAGCTCATCTCTCGAGTGCTAAAGGACTATACGCTATTGTGATTGGATACTTTTATATTCTCACGGCTTCATTAAACATTTTTTGTTTTCCCGACGAACTTTACTTTACGTTTTTTCGTTCACTGGGGTCGTTGACGGTGTGTTTTCCTCTCAGTTTGAAGGGTATTCGAAAGGGAGATATCGAAGGCTTAGCCTGGTAGTCTTTCGATACCGTTTGAGTGAGGGAGCATGGCGTCTCCTTCGCCTGAACCTTTGCCCTCTATAGGCCCAAGTTCCCCCTCCCCCTCCTCCGATTCCTCTGTCATGGAGTGTGTTCGACTCGCCGTTTTTGCCATAACAGGCACCTTTCCAAGTACCACAAGTGTGGGCAACTTAATTGTTCTGATGGTGTAGGTGAGGCGTGTATGCATACGCGTCGATTTTGTTTGCTATGCGAGCAATCTGACCACTTCACTGGCTACATTTCTTCCTCCCTTGCTTCAGGTGCTGCAACTCCTGTGGTTGCAGACAATACTTCAAGAAGATTTGGAGTTGCCGATAAGTCGGTCATCAGAATGATCCGCCGCCGCCGTGGTAAATCCACTACCCCTCAATCTGACCGAATCATCCGTGATAAGGAGGCTGCTACTACCGCAGCCAAGGGTAAGACTGTTCCCTCTTTCTCCTCTTTAGGCTCTGGCCCGTCTACTAATAAAGCCACCGGTCTGGTGCGCATTTTGAAGAAGCCTGTTTCTGGTGCTTCTGGATCAGCTGAGGCCCCATTTTAATGCGGATTACAACCTTAGCGATCAATGTGGGGGCGAGTGTTGGGAATCGGTCGCTGGCGATGGATTTATTTTCCTATGTTGATATGTTTTTTGTTATTGATCTCCTGGTTGGGAATGATAGTTGTCATATTGCCCATGAGGTGGAGGGCTTTGATTTATTTTCATTTGTTGTGGGATTGGGTGTGGAGGTTTATGTTCGTTCGGTGCTGTGTGGGTTGTTTGAGATTGGTGGACACGATGTGACATGTGCAATGGTGGACTATATGTATGAGGGTGAGGCATATCATGTGGGGGGGGTCTACTTTAGGCCAGGTATGGCTAAGACCGACTTTGTGAAGGCTTGTGAGGATATGGTGGGGTGAGATGTTTTGCTGGGTGACTTTAATGCATGTCACAGATACTGGAATGCTGCCGGCGACTCGATGGTTAATAATCACAGGAGGTGGCTGTTCAGTTACTTGCAACAACAGCAACTCAGTATTATGCTCCCCCAACAGCATACCTTTCGGAATGTTAGCACTATTGATCTGTGCTTATGGAAGGTCCGACCAAGATACCACCGATATGTTGATGCTGCTGGGTTAGAGCACTGTGGGCAGATAATTCTGTGGTTTGCTGATGTTCCTGCAATGGGGATGCGACCCAGACCGGCATGGAAGAGGGCCAAGTGGGACCAGGTTGCTATAGGTCTTGATCGCCTTAGGTAACTTGGCGATGAAGAGTTGTGGGGAGGTGTTAGGAACATAGTTGATGGGCTGCCTCGCTGTGGCATAGGTAGGAGTCGCTGTGTATGGTGGACCGTTGAGCTTGAGAGGAGGAGGAAGGATGTTCAACACCTGCGAGGGATGCGACGTGGAGATGTCGGATCGGAGGATTATAAGTTAGCCCGGAACGTGTACAGGTGCACTCTTGTCAACCCTCGTTACGACCACATCAGAGATCGGCTAGCGGAGGCCAGGGACCCAGAAATATTTCAACTCACCCGAGCTATCGAAACATGAAGGACGATACCTCCTATACTGGACGATAATGGCATGTGTGTTCATGATTACCAGGCTGTGAGTGATCTCATCGCAGCACAACTTGACCCTATTTCCGTGTCCCCATGGACGACAGCTCAGGTTATTGAAGTAGAGCCTGCAGTGGATATCGGAATGGCAATTCGCCGGAGTCCGGGCAATACAGGGCCAGGAATGGACGATCTTGGCTATCTGTTCATTCTGTTCTGGCACCACTGAGATCCTGTCACTGTTCAACGTCTTGTTGATTATAGGTTACGCCATGACATTGAGGACTGGCACTCGGCTGAGGTAGTCTTAATCCCTAAGTCCGACAAGCCTCGTTACAATATCGTCCAGTCATGGAGGATGATCCCCTTGCTGCCGACATTAGCCAAGTTTGCGGAGTGTGTTGTGCTTATGAGAATCGCTTCCTGCATTGTCCTTGATGATACACAGTTCGGATCCAGACGTAAACGAGGCTGCCACAATGGTATCTCGGTTATCTATGAGTTCCTTGCTCATAACAAGCACCTCAATGCTGCTTTGGTTTCCATCGATTTGGAAGGAGGCTTTGACCATATAGACTTCGATCTACTGTCAGATTTCCTCGTTGCGCGGGGTTGTCCGGCGATACTCTGTGCTTGGGTCAGGAGATGGGCCATGAGACGTGTGGTGCAATTCCAGTTCAACGGACGCATATCTCGGCGGTATCAGACAACGAAAGAATTACCGAAGGGTTCACCGTTATCACCCTTTTTGTTTGGCGTATACGTCGCCGATATCCTTACGCCTAGACAGCGGCACCGACCTTGGCTGAGGAGCATCATGATCAGTTACGTCGACGATGGTGTTATTGCAGTCGCTACAGACTCTGTCCAGTCTACCCTGCAACATATTGTGGCACTATTTGAGGACTGCAACAGGGTGGCACGAGCGAGGGGTATGGGGTTCACTCCGATCAAAACTAAGTGGCTGGGCTTTGGAGATGTCTGCTGGCAGGCATTGCAGTTGGACGGGAGCGATATAGAGCCATCGGAAGATTTAAGGATCCTTGGCTATTGGTTCAACCGCTTTAGAAACATGTCTGTGCATGTGGGATACTGGCTGAACAGAGGGTTGGGTGTGAGGAGACGGATATCTGCGCTGGGGAGGAGGTTTGGTTCTGTTGGGGGGTCGGGTGCATGGGAGATGTTTCGGCTTTTCCAGTCTGCATATTTGCCGACGGTCTATTATGGCCTTGAGTTCGTAACTGACTTTGGGTCGTATGTGAAGCGAATTCAGGTGCATGTTAATGACTGTTTGAGGAGTCTTTTCCGCTGTCCGATCAAGGTGGCCAACAATATTTTGATGGCTGAATTTGGTACACCGCCAGTTTCCTTCCAAGGACGGTATCTACAGCGTCGATACTATAGCCGTATGATCAATTACAAGTACTGTGCTGACCATCCATGGTTTGGCTCGGTCCGTGATCACT